TGTAAGGTGTCTACTACTTGCTGCCTGTTGGTTGTGTATGAATATGAAGGGGTTATCAGGTTGTGGCTGGTGAACTCCGGCTCGAATATGTATATCCGCTTTCGAATTGAGCCGATTGATTTCATTTAAGTTATGCATTGATTTCTGCGGAGATTAAAAATCTGAAACACATATACCTATGTATTGAAGTCAAGTATATTCCGTGGGAAAGAAACTTTATTGTGTGCATTTTCGGCGCTGATTCTCCAAATCTTCTTCAGACGCAAAACAGGTGCCAAAAATGCAATATTTCAGGCGTGCTAAATATTCGATACTCGCTTAGCGTTTGTACCGGCAAGCAACGGCCAAGTGTGTTATTCTGTTCTGATTGGCTTGCGTCTCTTCCGTTTCTCCCTGAAATCCAATATGTCGGTGGATGCATGATTTATCTGAGTGCGCGGCCTCGAGAAACTCTCAGCCTTTTTTAGAAGGGAAACACCGAAAATGTGAGTTTTGTCCCCATGTCCAGGATATACATGGCCACTTGGGACAGACGGTCTCGCCTCTTTACTGCTAACTAATGTCTGTGGACGCATGTATAGGCAGGTTTTCCAGTTAAACCACGGTAAATTACATCGCAGGCATCCCATGGGATCTCGTAGACGACTTCCTCCTCCTCCAAGTAGTTAACCCTACCTTTAGACTTTACAAGTTGAGCGTGTAAAGTAGCCGTCGGTATGTGCGCCGCTTTAATTTGGCGTTTCCTCGGGTCTCTTTCGACGCGTTCAGACATATCCCTCATTTGGTTCTTCAATATTTGTTTCGGACGCCTGACTGGAACTGCTTGGTTCCTTTTCTAATAACTCTGGCTGCCTCGTGCATCAGCGCATAAACTCATTAGGGTACCCATTCTGAAAAAAAAATCGTACAAGTGAAAAAGGTTGGAAAACGTGTTTTTTTACATTAAACAGACTGTTGGCAGTATTTCTTTTATGAGAAATACGCTGACTGTTCACGTGTTGAATAAGGCTTTCCAAGTATTTTTAGGTAAATTGGGGTGCGAAATGCTCCCTTAGTCTCTCGCTATACAAGAACCTCTGGAAATGAGAGCTATACGTTACCTTCCTTTTGGAGTGTGGATTTAACCTCCGAACTTGGAGAGTAAGTAGTTTTCTTAAGAATTTACAGCTAATCCTATTGAATGGTAACACATGTGTCATCTGTATATCGCAGTCACAATTTAGGGTTAACTACCGGAAGAAGCTCATCCTTTATTTTTCATACTTTGATCTTTTTGAGATAGCCAGATATAGTTGACCCCGCAGGATCCTACAAGTTAATTTGAAAGTTCGTTTCCAGGAGTCGGGTACGGCTGGCTGATATAGGCTAATAAGCAAGAAACGGTTTCTCCAGTCTCCTTGGTCTTTGTTTAAGATGTATTTTGTCTAATATATAGGTCACTTTAGGTCTCTTTATTGAGGGCATAAGGCTTTCGCTCCCGAGTTCCCTATTCATATCTAACAAACGCAAAAAATTTAATTTAAACAACCCATATGATAATTGTGGGGTTGTATGAGATGTAGGAGAGCCAGTCGCAAACCGCCACTACTAACACAGTGTTCGTTGCATGTACAACAGTTTCTCAGCAAATGAGAGTTTGCATTTAAATGTCGCGACAGGTTCTAAAAAGACCACCTCGTCAGGGAGTCCGTTCCACGTTCCGATGACCCTCTGATGGAAGGCGTTCCGTCTAGCTTCTATATGGGCACACTCCCCGTGCAGTTTAAGAAGACGACCCCGCAGATGGTCCGTCCGAGCTAATTCGAAGAATTTATCAAATTCTAGGGCGCACTCACAGCCAATGAAAAGTTCGTAGGTCTTAATAAGGTCATCGTGTGGATGCCTGTAATTGAAAGAACACAAAGCCAGTTTATCCAGTCTATCTTCGTAAGGCAGATGCAGACGATCAAAATTATTGACCATCTTCGTACTCAGGCTGAAGAGTTAAATCGCTACTCCTCTCAGGGCAAGCAGTCAGGTTGTAATCGCTCCTTCTTAATGTGTTGTCTATGGCACACCAGCTAGAATGGAATAGGAGCTGCCTCCTCATTTCTCAGGAAACCTTTCGCGAAGTTTGAGTGCTGATTCTGTGGAATCTCTCTTCCGCCCTGATGGCGTTTGCGGATTCTGAACCCTCTGCCAGGCTTCACGCTGATGACAAAGGTGCTGTCTCTGCAGCCCGCAGTCAGCTACTTCTTCAGCCGCTCACCGACACACCTTCATCCGATATAGAATCTTGAATCCATAAAACTGAATGGAGACTGACCACACTGTGCACCTGTGTCAACTCTTCCTCGTCCCCAACTTCAATCATTTAATGATCTGCAGTTTTTTTCGCCTGAAAAACGGTACAAAGAATGATTAGGAGTTTTTTTCCTGGTCAGCTTGATCCTCTATATCCCCTTTGACCTTACCTGTAAAGTGGCAATAAATAAATAAATAAAATTAAGCTTACAACACCAGAGGAGTGGCATTCCGCGATCTATCCGGTGTCCTCGGGGTCGTACAAGTGGTCTCGCCCGCGCCGCAGCCAGAGGAGTAACGTCAGGCGGTCGCAGAGTGGACGTGAACCTCTCCGGTAGTACGCACGCACTGCGCACTGTACACGTCCGCACTGAGACGTCACGAGTGTTTGTCAGGGCGGACGCCTGTTGTTTCTGCTTAACTCACATGTCAGTGTGCTGCCACCCGCTATTACTGGGACTG